AAACCTATCTAGGAGGCAGGACCAAATGAAGAACTGGACAAAAAGACCACACACACACACACACACACAAAACCTATCTAGGAGGCAGGACCAAAGGAAGAACTGGACAAAAAGACCACACACACACACACACACACAAAACCTATCTAGGAGGCAGGACCAAAGGAAGAACTGGACAAAAAGACCATAACAGACCAAGTCAGTCAAATCCACTAGTCCTTTCAAAGAGTTTAGCAAAACAAGAGCAGGTTGATGGAAGAAATGAAGTACGAATATGAGAGTAATTAGAATTTCAGGAGAAAAGGGGATAAACAGGATAGGAGAAATTCAATAGTAATTCCTTTCCTAATTTGATGCTGGGGATACATGTGTATTATGTTAGTATTTGCTAACTGAACAAGTGAAGCAAGCGTTAATAAACTGGGTAAAGAAGCAGAAAGCACTGAACCAGAGTTATTTTCATTATTCCAAAGAACTTTTTGGATCAAGAAACAGTAAATAAATACACGTTCTTACAGGGACTTGCTGAAGAGAAAACTATGTAGATAATTTATTCTAAAAATGTAGGCTCTTGGGGCACCTGGGTGGCTCAGTCAGTTAAGCATCTGCCTTTGGCTCAGGTCATGATCCCAGGGTCCTGGGAGTGAGCCCTGCGTCAGGCTCCCTGCTCAGTGGGGGGTCTGCTTTTCCCTCTCCCTCCACCAACTCATTCTCTGTCTCTCTCGCTCACTCACTCTCTCAAAAAACAAACAAACAAAAAAACAATGTAGGCTTTGGAACAAATCAAATTTGTATTCAAATACTAGCTTTGTCACTATGAACCTGGATAAATTAATTTCTATAAGCCATAGTTTCCCCAAATATAAAAGGAAGAAAATGAGATCTATATTAGTGGATTGGAAATAAAATGAAAAATATGTAGCAGTGACTGAACCTAGCAGATGTTTAATAATTAGCAGGTACTATTATGGATGACTTCTAAACACACACATATATATTAGAGGTGATTAACTCGAGATTTCTACTAAAAGTGCAAATAATAACAACTTAGTAACATGGAAAAGAACCATAATCAGATTGCATTCATATCATATTGTGTATTTTAAAAATGTGGGCAATAGCACTGAAAACTTCAAAGCCACCAGAAACCAAAGTATTTTTTCCAAAGACTGTACATATTTCATATTCACCAGGATAAAAGATGTCCTGGGCAAACTGATAAATCAAAGCACCTTATCTATAGGTACTTAAATCCACTTTGTTAGTTTTCTTTTGTTGTTTCATATAATTTTTCTTCTCACATCACTAAGTATATCTTACTGTCCCCTTCGCTTTTCTTATAGTTATGAGACAACATTTTCCTTAAGACATTTATTATAAATTAATTTTGCCTCAGCCATATTAACTTGGGACAAAACCACAAAAATTAAATACAGCTACCATAACTAGATTCAGAAAGTCACTACCATTTAAAACAAACAAATTCTCACCCCTCACCCCTTACACACACACACACGCACCACCAAAAAATAATTTTAAGATTTATATTCCTAGTCTTTAGGGGAAGAGGGCCATATCAGTTCCTTTTTATAAACTCCACTGTAGTAACAATTTGATTACTTAAAATATGTACCAGTACAGGGCAAAAGGTAACCAAAATGCACTCTAATTTCAATATTTGCTTAAGTTCTCAATATATATAAATTGGCTTTTTTGGTGATACACTAATTTAAACTCATTTGGTCTCTGTCCAATTTATTAACTCCTAAGATTCCAGAACCATCACATATTTATTATGACAAAGATGGAGGAGCTATAAAATAAAGGTAAAACTACTAGAAGTCAGGTTATTTCTGAAAGAAAAAAGTAATCTTAGTTCTGTAAGAAGTTAACTTTTTCTTCATTTGTTTTCCTACCCACCCCTGGAATACGCGCACACACACACACACACACACACACACAAGAATCAAAACCATACTTTATCTAAAAATGTTACCTTAAAGATCGTAACTGTATGTCAAGATGCTAGTCTGCTCTAGTAGAACCAGTCACTCCTCTAAGAGGGACAGATTTATTACAGTGACAACCCACTATGGACCTCCATTCTCCTGCCAATTTATGTTATACATTTGTATGCAAACTAGTCTAGCTTAGACAAGGCTGCAGTTGTGGACCATTTTTCCTGGCCCATCAAGACACTGCAATTCTAATTTTAATTAATATCACTTTCCAATTCACTGAATATCTGAAAGTATATGGCTCAGCTTCCTGGAATCCTAAAAGGATGTTGATAACTTGCAGCCAAACAATGAGGCTTTTCAACAACTCCTTGGGGTACCCATCTACTGGGCTGGTTTAAAAAATATTTGATATATTTTATGAATTTAGATCCTGTGAGAATTCTTTTTAAGAGTTCTAGTGCTAAACACATTGACAACCATTATCTTCAACCCCTAGTGGTTCAGAGAAGGCCAATACATGAGAATGCATGCAACGAGTTTACTATTTAATATGTTAGGTAACAGTGCTAGCCAAAATATGGAGTCCTGGAAATGAGAGGCCATGCACTGTACAAAGAGGAAAGCAGGAGTTTCCTGGATATAAGGCCAGGCATAGGTAATATTGTAAATGGCTGAAATCTATCTTTCTTTAGGGCCCAAATTTCGACTGGTCTTAGTTCCTTCCCTGCTTTGGCTCTACATCTAATTCTCAAAGTACTCTTAGTTTCAAATTTATCATCAGAAAAGTATTTTCAGACACCTGGGTGGTGCAGTTGGTTGAGCATCCGACTCTTGGTTTCAGCTCAGGTCATGAACTCAGGGTCGTGAGATCAAGTCCTGCGTTAGGCTCTGCACACAGCGAGTAGTCTGTTTTGAGTTTCTCTCTCCCTCTTCCTCTGCCCCCGCCCCCCACTGTGCTTGGGCATGTGCTCGCTCTCTCAAATAAATAAATATTTTTTAAAAAAGTAAGTATTTTCGATATGGATAAAAACAAAGGGGTAAGTAGTATTAAAGATCTGTTAGAAATATATAAGACACACAAGAGAAAATTGGGTAAAGGACATGAAGAGTTCACATACACACAAAAAGAAATACAAATGGCTTATCTGTACAGATGCTTAAATTCACACTAACCAAAGAAATTTATTATTTTTTTTATTTTTTTAAAAAAGATTTTATTTATTTGACAGAGAGAGACACAGTGAGAGAGGGAACACAAGCAGGGGGAGTGGGAGAGGGAGAAGCAGGCTCCCTGCAGAGCAGGGAGCCCGATGCGGGACTCGATCCCAGGACCCTGGGATCATGACCTGAGCTGAAGGCAGTCGCTTAACCAACTGAGCCACCTAGGCGCCCACACATTTGTTTTTTTAGATTCCACATATAAGTGAAATCATAGGGTATTTATTTCTCTGTCAGACTTCTTCACTGAGCGTAATACACTGTGGGTCCATCCACATTGCCACAAGATCTCATCCTTCTTTATGGCTGAGTAGTATCCTATTATGTGTATGTATGTGTGTATATATACATACCTTTATACATACACCACATTTTCTTTATCCATTTATCTCTCAGTGGACACTTGGGTTGCTTCCTCACATTGGCTCTTGTAAGTAATGTTGCAGTCAACATAGGCATGCACGTATCCCTTTGAATTAGTGTCAAACTGTTATTTTGAATACGAAAAGGGACATAAACCCATAAGATCTGATTTTTTTTTAAAGATTTTTATTTATTTATTGAGAGAGATAGTGATAGAGAGAGAGCATGAGAGGGGGAGAGTCAGAGGGAGAGGCAGACTCCCCGCTGAGCAGGGAGCCCGATGCGGGACTCGATCCCAGGATCCTGGGACCATAACCTGAGCCCAAGGCAGACACTTAACGACTGAGCCACCCAGGCGCCCCTAACCAAAGAAATTTAAACGTATACAAAAAAAATACCTTCATCTTTGGGTGGAAGAAAGAACACGTATGTTGATGATAATCTCTTTGGACAGTAATATGAGAATATCTATTGAAATTTAGAATTCATATACTGTTTGGCCAAGCAACTCTACTTCTAGGTATTTTATGCCCAAAGCGTTGTTTTCAAAGAACAATATTTACAACTAGACTGATTAAATAATTTAAGGTACTTTTATATGCTATTTAACAGACATGCAAACATTAAAAAGAATGTAACATATCAACATATGCTAGCATGGACACCTCTCTAAAATGTAATGAATGAAAAAAGTAGGCAAAGAACAGTGCATATAGTGTGTTCCTTCTTCAAGAAGGAAGAGACGGAGGGAGGGAGGAAGAAAGAAAAAGAGAAAGAGATGGGAAGAAAATTAGCTTCATACACATGCATAGCTAATTATGTAAAGACACACAAGAATCTAACAGCATTTGACTGAGACTAGCAGTCTTAGATAGAGAACTTGACCTTTTTGGGCTGTTAGATTTATTATGTCCATTGATCACTTTTTCAAATACAAATGAATTAGTTTAAAACAAAAACCAAACCAAACATAAAGAGCACAAAAATTCCGTCATGCTATTCTGTAATTTCTCAACTCCGTGCTGCAGATGATCTGGGCTAGTTTTCAGCAGAAAACACAAAACCAACATAAAAGAGCTTTTCTATCTCAAGGTATAGCTTGAGCACAGCTCTAACTTTCTTTTAGTCAGTGAGTCACTAATTCAGTTCTTCCCAAACTCCGTTCTATTTATGTAAAAAGATATTAAATGGAAAAGAACTCCTGTTTATATCAATTTGGAAGTCTCTGGATTAAGCTTAGTTAAATGTTTTATTTTTTACTTGTAGACAGTTGAGCATTTTAGTGCTCTGTGAATCTGTAAGACAGGGATACTGTACATTATCTCCCAAACTCAGTTGATCCTGGTACCTCTTTTAGTGTCACTGTTATGCTGGGAAACATGAATCCAAGTGTAATTTCGGAGAATGTAAAAATACATAGGAAGATTTAGGCAGCATGAGGCCGGCCCAGGTGAGGCGAGGGCTCACCACCCAGGACACTAACAGGCCATTCCCGCCAGGGAGTGTCCTCTTCTCAGCCAGTACTCCTTCTCACAGACACTGTCCAGCTTTCCTTTGTGGACCCATAGTTATTTTGAAAGGTGCTCTACTTTTTTACAGCAGCCCTCATGCTAGTGGGAATTCCAGAATGAATTCTCAATTTTCAGCATAGCAAGTAAGGAATAAAGCATGCCATCTGGCTGTGAGTGGGTAGGAGAGAAGCAGGAACCATTATTTGTGAACCGGATTTCTGTTTATCACAAGCTGCTGATATACAACGAAGTATACTCTAATAACTGCTATCTATATTAACTTCTATTTTTAAAACAATTTTATTTATTTATTTGACAGAGAGAGAGAGAGAGAGAGAAGCACAAGCAGGGGACCAACAGAGGGAGAAGGAGCAGCAGACTTCCTGCTGAGCAAGGAGCCCAATGTGGAGCTCGACCCCAGGATCATGACCTGAGCCGAAGGCAGATGCTTAATTGAGCCACCCAGGCACCCCTATGTTAACTTCTTTAAATAACTAAAAAGAAAAATTAATCACCAGGACTATAAAGAGTAACATCTAAGAGTAAATACAGGAAAAACCGGTAATTTACCAAACCCAAGATATCACCATTCTGAAGTGCTAAGAACCTTCTAGCAATAATTGTCACCATTAGCTTGAGAACAGGGATCATAAATAAATATGCAGCGTATCAATGTTCTGACTGCAGACGAATACTAATTTGATCATAGACTTTAGCTAAAAAAATTTTGCATAAGGAAGCAAGGAACAAGGTCTCATAACTTTCAATAAAAGGTAAATTCCCAGTTCCTCCACCCCATGATAATTAATGCTCATAACAATAAATGAAAGACGCCCTAAGATCTTAAAGTACCTTCTGAAACACAGGATAGATAAAATAACACTCAGTTTAACTGTCTGAATACTGGAGATACCTGTAGAATACCAATTTTCATTAGTTAACTCGATTACTTTCCCAACTACTCAGAAACTGAACTGTTTATCCTTAAATTTACCACTAGATAACACAATTTATTATCTAATCTAGTCCCATTTCATCTATAAATACATAGTAACTACACACTTCAGTATATGCACAGAATGTCTGCTTATAGTCCAAATGCATGCTAAAAGCCACCATTAAACATATTCACGCAACAATCAGCTCTGGTTTTGTTCTGCTTCCTGTTATACCTTTACTAATGATAACAAAGCTCATGACTAGTTTCAGTTCATGCTAGAATGAACAATAAATGCTACCAGTTAGTTGTAAACTTATACATGTAAATATGTAAGTAAATCTGTACTGGTTTTATCTTATTTGGCATTTCTTAGATCTCTTAAAAATATCAATTATATCTACTGTATTGTCCAAGTCATAGTGGAAGAAAATATTAGGCTACGAATCATCACCTTGAAACCATTATATGTATTGGTAGAACACGGAACTTACACACTTAAATACGTGCCTTATAGCTAACCAAATTCTTCTAGAAGCAAACCACAAAAGTGAGAAGAACTCAAGAAGACTGCAAAATAAAGCTTACTTTCACTGCGGCAATAAGACGAATGTAGTCACTAAGTAGTTCTGAAAACATATAAAAGTCAGCAAAAGCTTGTTCTTGATGTAACTGGTCTATCTTCTCCTCCACCTCTGCAAGCTGAGACAAAGCTCTAGATAAAGCAGTATGGTCCTCTGAGTTACCTAACATGGCGGCACTTTTAGCAAAGGCAGCTGTGTTGGCTGAAAGCTCTGAAAACAAAAAAAGATTCACTTTTAGTGTTCACTAGTAAAGTTTTTAAATATTGCAATGGTTTTTCTACCTTCCCTCTAAATTTTATCAGTTCGTGTATCATTCAAATAATTATTCTGAAATAATTAACATAAAACAAGCAGTCATTAAAATGCCTTTGGCATAAATGCCAACTGCTCAGAGCTCTACTGAAAGTTAAGAAGAACATTAAAGAAAAATTAAGAACCACTGCCTATATTCCCAGGGGAGGAACTATGTTTAATAATTTAATATAATAATCAGCCTCCCCTTTCTTCCTAAAGTGCTCACTGCTTTTGTGTATTCCTGCAAAAGATAAAAGATTTTTTAATTATTTTTTTTAAAAGATTTTATTTATTTATTTGACAGAGAGCACAAGCAGGCAGAATGGCAGGCAGAAGGAGAGGGAGAAGCAGGTTTCCCGCTGAGCAGGGAGCCTGACGCGGGGCTTGATCCCAGGACCCTGGGATCATGACCTGAGCCAGAGGCAGCCGCTTAACCGACTGAGCCACCGAGGCGCCTCTAAAATATTTATTTTTAATTTGGAAAGCAATGGGAACACTAACAATCAATTTATACTATATTTTTTGGCTTTATACATTTATTTGAAATTGAAAATGTCTGTAATTTTTAATGAAAAAAAATTTTTTTTTTTAAAGCCAGGTAAAATTATACATACAATTTATAGAAATCTTATTCTTTTTTTCTTGGTGTACAACAATGCTTGAACAATGCTCAGTAGAAATACTAAAAATTTCTAAAAGAGATTTTTGAACATTATCATTTCAGATACTTCGAATAAAGAAAAACAGATGTTTACAGAATACATGTCATTGACTAATAACACATTGTCTAGAAACCACTCTACATTACATAAAATTCTCTAAGAACCATAAAGCCATTCCCTAAGAGGTAGAGTACAAACGGCAAAAGCTGTTATAAACTGCTTTCAATAATGAGTGTATTGGTGAACTTCTGTAATTGTTTTACCGAAACAGATTACTGGTAATGGCACCTACAAAATTACTTATTAAGTATTTTAAGAACCTAACATTAAAATCCTTGTATTCTTAAAAAAAACAATAAAAATCTCATGATAAAATTAAAAATTACAACTTAATTTTTCTATCAATTTTTAACAAACTTCCTCTCCCCAGACTTTTCAATATGGTTGTTCAAAAATGAAGAAAATAATTCAGAGTTTTCTATGAAATACAGGTACACAAAAAATTTTTTAAAGATAAATTTCAAGTATCAAATTTTTAATCTGATATTTTTAGTTATATCAGTTACTAATAAGACATCTTCACTCATTAAAGTATAAGTATGTTTAACAAAGAGTTAATCAAATGAACAAGTTTTAATCCAAAATTCAAAATATATTTTTATAAGCTCAGGATTTTTCTACCTCTCAACTATAAGTGAGGATCAAGTAGAACAAAAAAACATTCACAAGATTCAAATAGAAAACATTCACTTAAACTATTGCTCTCTCTTCTATAGTAACCCCAGAATGTTCATTTTAATAAAATTTAAATAAAATATTTGAATTAACTTACGGTGTTAACACATAAATAACATGGCAAACACACCTTTTCTATGACAGACCAAGGCTTCGACACTAGCATGAAGTTTCCTAAGTTGCTGATCCAGATTTTCAAATTGCTGCTGCTTTTCTTCAAACCACTAAGAAAAAAAAATGAGAAATGGAGCTAATTTAGCAAGAACAAACCACTGTAAATTAGGTTACCAATAGCAAGGCACATTCCTTATTTTAAAGCAACAAATTAACCATGTATAACCACGGTAGTCAACTGATGTGGCTGAGAACTAAACTCAATAAGCAAATTAATATCCTATTTTCTACTTGTACAGCTTTAAAATGCAATTGTTGGGCTCATTAATTCATCTCATTATTCAAGTCGAAAAATCAGCTCTTACTGCATCCGATTCATTCATCTTGATTGTCATTTTGTTGACAGCGTCGGCAGCCTTGTTCACCATCCTCAATATTCCTGCTCCACTCAGAGCCTGTGTGTTAACTGCTCTAGGCAGCTGGAATTGAATGACAAATAAGGGCAAACAAACCGGTTAAAAGCCTGGAGGTTTAACTGGGCACAAAAGGGACTGCACACCCCCACCAAAAAGAAAAAAGAAAAAGAAAAAAAGGAGGTTGTATTTTCTTCACTCTCATACATTTCAATAGTGAGATCTAATTTCTCAAATACACTACTTGTACACTCTCAAAGGAAAACTTAAAAAATAGACTTTCCATTTGCTTTTCTTCTGCACGTTTACATTTAGATGGAACAACACACTGTTTGTCAAAATATATTAAGAAATTGCCAAGTACTTTAACACTGGCCACCTGTTTGCTTACAGGAAATAAACTTGTTTATAAGGAAAGAAGAAGAAAGTCTGGAGAAAAATCTCCTTATGCTCAGTTAAGGATAGTGTGATTCTGTATTTTTCAAAAATTCTGGGATTCAAATAAATTTTTTTTTTTAAAGATTTTTTTTTTTAATTTATTTATTTGACAGAGAGCACAAGTAGGCAGAGCGGCAGGCAGAGGGAAAGGGAGAAGCAGGCTCTCTGCTGAGCAGGGAGCCCGATGCGGGGCTTGATCCCAGGACCCTGGGATCATGACCTGAGGCGAAGGCAGATGCTTAACCGACTGAGCCACCCAGGCGCCCCTTCAAATAAATTTTTTAAAAAAGTTCAAAGGGTAGTAATTAAAACTCTGAACTGTGACGAGCCCCAAATGTACCAAACATCTCAAATGTAAGGAGTAGTAGCACAGTTATAATTTAAGCTCTTTTAATACATACATTTGCATTTCAGAACCTCAGTTAAGAATATTAGAATGCAGACATACGAACACATTCAAATGTCTCTAAAAGGAGGCCCGAATAAAATTATTTCAACGTAATGCCGAAAGCAACAACTTGGGCATTGAGAATTAGACTACCTGTAAGTCATTCTTCTAAATGTGGTTTAAAATTTTTGAAAAAGAAACTGATCATCCTATAATTATCAATGCAAGAAGATATTCTGCTAGTAAATAATTAAAGCTAATTAGAACACTAAGCCAAAAAAATCATTTTATTCCATTTACTAATCCAACTATTTATGGAACATATATTTTTATAGAAGTTATTAAAGTAACAAACATAAATAAGGAGAACATTCATATCATATGAAAATATAAGGTAGAAATAATACCTCTGAACTTTCCAGGAACTGCCTTAAATCAGGATCCTGTAGTAAAGTTGGATGCTTTACTGTTCTTTGAAGATACCTAGATTTAAGATAATATAAAATAATAAAAATTAGGTAAACCAATATCCTCAGTCTGCCTTCACATTAATTTATTTATACTCTTAAAAGCAACTTAAGGATTAAAAAGCGTTTTATCTTTTGCAAATTCATAATTATATAAAAAGAGACATGGTAGGTCATGGAGGTGGGGGATATAGGAGAGGGTGAATAACTTACCCAACTTCACACTGCAAAGTATTAGAGTTGTAAAAGGGTATATGAATTTGTTGAGTAATTTTATCTTTTGGTGGAGTCACATGTTCCCAGCTATTATTTCAGAGTCCCAACACACACATCACTATATATATTCCAATCAACTATTTTATTATTCCTATTATTACCAAAATGGAGAAAAGTCTACCAGTTTTTTTCCTTGTCAGCAGATTTCAATTATCAAATCAGTTTTGATCCTTATTTGACAAGGGCTAAATTTTCTTTAAAATTCTATTTTTAAAAAGGTTTTACTAAAAACTTGATTCATGTTTTTCTTATATGACACCACACAAAATAAAAATGACAAGCGCAACACCATTATTAATCACTATTAGCCCAACTTTGTTTTCCTGTAGTAGAAAGTAGAAAAGCCCAAATTTCCATCATCCATAAAAAGAAAAAAGGTCCACTACTTAATGATTCTTGTTTACTTATCTAATCCCATTTTTCAAAAAACTGTTCTTTCCCCAATGATTAACATGTGCATTTCAATTACAGTATTTTACTTAACAGTTAATATACCTTTATTCTATTTCTGCAGAACAAATGTAATCAGTAACTCTTCTACCTCATTGTAAGATTATAAAATACGCCTAAAGTTTCAGAAAAACATTGGTAACTTTCTATAAAGTCAAATTCTATACAATGGTTAAGATGACTATTTTATCATGGCTTACATGTTAACTTCTGTTTTTATATATTTAAATGACTTCAAGTCATTAGCCTTGACTAATAAGAAAATATTCCCACAGAAGTAGAGCATTTAATAGATATGTGCAAGACAACTACACTGTGGCTTAAAATATATATATACTGCCTATATTATCAGGCTAAAAACGAGATGCAACAGGAACACTAATTTTGTGTTAAAAGAAAATGTTGGTATCTTCCCACCGGAATTTTACTTACAATTTTAACCCTCAAGTTCTTCAATACTGTTATTTACTTGTGCAGACTGCGTATGGCTGAGAGCAGTTTGTTTCAGTTGTTTGTCGTAGAAGACAAAACATGTCATACCCAAGCTTGGAACATCCCAATTATTTCAAACCTAAATGTAATTACCTAATACCACTTATATTCTAAAACAGCTTTCCAAAGTGAGCTCTGTGGAATACTAGTCTCATTCAGTATTCTAGGAAAAAGAATGGTTTTACAATCAATAAAGTCTGAAATACATTACATATATATTCCTCTGGGTCATAATGGACAGCGGCATGTTAACCACTGTGCGAAGTCCTGCAGGAAATGAACCTGGCTTAACTGTGTTAAACCTTATGTTAACAAGACTCAATTGTCTACAGATTTTCCTTTTTTCACCCTACCACATATTAATTTTCTGAGGAATCATTTTGGAAAATGGTATTCTAGAAAAAGACAGTAAACCTTTACTTCTGAAGGGTTACACAGAAGTAAACAGCAATCAACCATCTCTTTAAAAGTCCTAAATTTACATAACGTTAAAATTAAGAACAGAAACATGAAAGATTTTTTGTTCCAGAGATAATTACCTTTTAATGTTTTTTCTAAGAGTGTGAGTATGTACACAAACTCAGAGACTTTGGTTTTAACAAAAATATTACACCATTATGCTTGTAGTCGTGTATCCTTTTACACAAAACAGTAAGTTGTAGATACCTTTCTGTAGCATTAAATATTATTCTCTAATGCCATTTTTATTTACCACATGAAATTCTATCATATAGATGTACTATAACATCGTTATTTTTTAATATTACAATGACCACTACTTTGCTTCGCAAAGTACTATCACATTCAATGGAACTTTGTTCTTCAAACTGGTTGTACCTAGTATGTCTACTTTGCTTTTCTCAATAGCACATTTTATATGAAAATTCCCTTCTTTGTAAGGGGTGTGTTTTTAAATCAGACAATTAAAGGAACGGATCTGCATTTTTTCTCCCTTCACAATCTTAATACCATTATCAATTTCAGCATTTCTTACGAGCCATGAAACTATCCTTTGTCTTCATAATCCTTATGTTCATAAAGATGTTTATTTTTTCACTTTTTTCATTAAGTTTTTAATTCTAATTCCATTATAGTTTACATACAGTGTTATAATGATTCAACAATTCATCATAGTTCAGTGTCCTCTGTAATTCCCATCCCCTATTTCACCCATTCCCCCAACTACCACCCCTCTGCTAACAGAGTGTAATATTAGCATCAGGTGTACAATTTAGTGATTCAATACTTCCATATTTATCAGGACAAGTGCACTGCTTAATTCCCATCACTTATTTAACCCCATCAGCCCATCCACACCCCCTGTGGTATCCATCAGTTTGTTCTCTATAGTTAAGAGTCTGTTTCTTGGTTTGTCTCTCTCTTTTCCCTCCCCCCTTGTTTTGTTTCTTAAATTCCACATAAAGTGAAATCATATGGTATTTGTCTTTGACTTATTTCGCTTAGCATAACACTCTCTGGCTCCATCCACATCACTACAAATGGCAAGATTTCATTCTTTTTAAAGGCTGAGTAATACTCCATTTTAAACACACACACACACACACACACACACAGACCCCTTCTTTATCCATTCATCTATCCATGGATACTTGGGCTAATTACATAATGTGCCTATTGTAAATAATGCTGCAATAAACACAGGGGTGCTTGCATCCCTCTGAATTAGGGTCTGTATTCTTTGGGTAAATACCCAACAGTGCAATTCCTGGATCATAGGGTAGTTCTATTTTTAACTTTTTGAGGAAATTTCATACTGTTTTCCAGAGTGGTTGTACCAGTTTGCATTCCTACCAACAGTGTTAAGAGCGTTCCTTTTTCTTCACATTCTTGTCCACACTTGTTTGTGTTTTTGATTTTAGCCATTCTAACAGGTGTGGTGATATCTCACTATAGTTTTAATCTGCAATTCCCTGATGATGAGTGATGCTGCGCATCCTAAGATAGATTTTAAGTTAATGAGTATTTGTAAATATTCCCCAATTCAGTAGTAAGGTCAGAGAGGTTATAAATATATAAAGGATGGATACAGAACAAAAAGGAAAATATAGGAAGAACACATGAAAAGAGGCATGGGAAGGAAGAGAAACACTAGAAGGAAGAAAGAAATGGAAGACACAAAGGAAATGATGAAAAGTTAGTATCACACTTAACGAGAGGAAGTCAGCTGTAGTTGTTTTTTACATTTGCTCCAAGGAAAGGTTACTGATAAATTTAGAAGAATCACTGAGGGTTTTAAGCTCCTATTTACTCATTGAAAATAAAACAAAATAAAGCAGGTTATACAAAATTCCGAGGAACAAAGTTAAAAATATTTCTCTTGCTTGAAACTTAAACACATGTGCTAACAATGAGAGAACAGAAAGGCAGAAAGAGCCTGATCTTTGATGACATTCATTTGTTCCTACAGCAAATATTTATTAAGCATTTACTAAATGTCATTTTCTGTTCTGAACACTCAGTGTATCAGTACAAACTATATTTTAGTAAGAGAAGACTGATGATAAACTATAAATACAATAAACACATAAATTATATACTATGTAACAAGTTGGCAGATGCTGTGGAAAAAGAAAGGATAGAACAGTAGAGCAAATGTGATCAAGTATATAAGGTATGGTTGGTGGCAATTCAAAGAGAACAGGTAAGAATGAAGCCAATCATCAGAAAAGACTTCACTGGAAAGAGGATACTTGAACACACGAACTTAAAAGAGGTAAGAGAATGGGCAATGCGGATACCTGGGAACAAAAGCTTTCTAAGCAATGGGAGAGGCCAGTGAAAAAACTCTAAGGTGGGAAAATGCCTAGGATCTTTGAGGAGCAGCAAAACATCAGTGCGGCCTGGGGCAGAGTGATCAAGGAGCATATGAGATCAAGGAGGTAACAGCGAGCAGTGCATGTCATGTGAAGTTCTGTAGGCCATTAGAAGGACTCTGGCTTTTACTGAGTGAAATGGGGAAGGGGGCAATATTGTCTGATTTGTATTTTAAAAGGATGACTCTGATTGCTGTATTAAAAGAGTAGAGGTTCAAGGATGGAAACAAAGAGGCCAATTAGGAGCCTACTGCAGTTAATTCCAACATTTGGACTAGTATTGTACTGGTGAGAAATGGCTGCATTACAGATATCAGAAAGAAGCAACAAGGTTTCCTGATGAACTGGATAATCCTAAGTACTTCCTGATACGAAAGAGTAGACTAATTAACCTATGCTAACTGCTTAGGCCAAGCCAGTTGATTGGAGTGAACACAATCCTGATACATCGTAAGGTAAGTAAAAATGTATTTAAGTTAAATAAGTTGCCCAAGTCACACAGTATATAGTGTGTAGTGGAGCACAGGCTTCAACAAAAAAGGGATGCTAAATCCCTTTCACGCAACCCTAGACTTCTGTTTATATCTGCAGAACTGTATCCTCACCTCACCTCACGTATTGAGTATAAACTCAATACGGGCTGAAGGTAAAATGCGAAGCACTCTCAAGTCTTAGGGACACTCTTCCTACAAGTAGCTTCTACTTCCTTTAGTGAGTGTGCCCAGGAGAGTAGCTTTCTTAACCATTCCCTTTCTCTGCCTGTATTTTAATACTAGATGTTCATCCTTTCACTCAAGACAGTCATCTAGATTTTCTGGGTGGAACCAACAGATAAATACGTAAATTGTTATCATAGTATATACAAAGAAAAATACTTCCCTGTCCCACCAGATTCAACTAGGTTAGGTATCCCACAGATAAGCCTGTTCTCTAATTTTTAAATTTTAAGAAAACTGCCGTTAGAAAAAGCATTCCAATTCCTCTGCTTCTAGACCTTTACACCTATATTTTCTTTAGTCATAATTTTTAAGGCAAAATGAATTTCTCCCTATTACACTGTTTCCTTTTTTTTTTAACTTGCAAAGTCCACTAAGGTAGCATTTAAGAAGTAACATTTATCACTGAAGAAACTATTTTCAAATATCTAGCAGGTCAAATCTCAGTATTTCTTTACAACTCTCCTCAATGTTTCATACTGCATGATGTTATGGTAAGTACTATGCAATGCAGTCAAGTTGTAAGAAAGGTGAATGTAGAATCAAATTATATGTCCTAGGTACAATAAATCTTCATTAAGTTCCTTATCAAGCATGCCATCTGAAATATTTCAAATTTACTCATAGAAAAATAGGACTTGAAAGGTTTCTCAAAGGGTCATGGTTACACTTTCAAGAAGAACTAAGCAAAATCAAAACCAAACATTATCTATCCTTTACTCCTAAAAACATTCAGTCTATGACTTCTTTCATAACATAAACAATTCTAATGCCTAACCTAAACTTCTCTTGATGCAATTTAAATCCTTTTCCTGAGTAACTGCAATTCTCACAGACAATAATCTCATCCTTTAAGTCCTCCTTAATATTAAGTTGCATATTCTTTAGCTTTCTTACTGTAAATTGTTCAAACCTTCTTTTCTGTGGTATTTTCTTAAAATGTAAACAAATTATAACTAAAACCCAGAAATAAGGTGTCTTAAAAAATAGGTTAAAAAATAATGTGTATCCTGGAGATAAATATACTATTCCTTAAAATCTGTCCGACCTACCACAACCACTGATTTTAAGTCAAAAGAGAGAATAAAGAATAAGCAAATTCAATTAAGATAAACAAAATTCAATTAAAATAACAAACCAAAAAAACCTATGAAGTTAGAAAATTTGTATGTCTAGGTGATTACCAACTTATGTTCTAAAAGTTGGGCTTTAGGGCGCCTGGGTGGCTCAGTCGGTTGAGCGACTGCCTTCGGCTCAGGTCGTGATCCTGGAGTCCCGGGATCGAGTCCCGCATCGGGCTCCCTGCTCAGTGGGGGGTCTGCTTCTCCCTCTGACCCTCCTCCCTCTCATGCTCTCTGTCTCTCATTCTCTCTCTCGCAAATAAATAAATAAAATCTTTAAAAAAAAAAAAAAAGAGCTAAAAGTTGGGCTTTAAGATAGTTTCAAATTTGTTTTCTCAATTTTCAGCATAGCAAGTAAGGAATAAATGTTAAGATTCTAGGATTGGGATCCTCCCATTCATTCCTCTTTTTACTCTGTGACATTGAACACAAGTCTTCAAAACTACAGGAAATGTGTCAAGTACTCTAAAAAAAGGTAGAGCAAATACATCAGACTTTAAGTATACAGTCAACTCAATAAATGACTAATACTACTATGCACTCAAGTCAAAATCAATTATACAAAATTAAAGGGGAAAGCGCAAACCTAATTTTTCGTTGTATTTAATAATGTTCCTAACCAAGTAATAATTCAAAGGAAAAATTACTTTAAATGAACTATAATTAGCCAAATTATGCAACAGAACCTGAATACAGGTAGAACTTCTTAAGAACCTAAATATTACTAAATACTAAAAATTCAAAAGTTTATCTACCTTTTCATATCTTTTTACAAGCTTGGCAGTTTTTTACTTCTCATGTGGACTACAGCTATGATACATTAATTCTTTTCTTTTCTTAAAAAAGATTTTAAATAATCTCTACACCCAACATGGGGCTCGAACTGACAACCCCAAGATCAAGAGTCGCGTGCTCTACCAAGCCAGCCAGGCGCCCCAAGATACATTAATTCTATCTCCAACTAACTCACGCCTTTATATTCCTGCTTATGTCACAGGATACAAAAATAGGTGTTATTTTGTTAGATATACTATTGCTAAATATCAATCCACTGTGAGGATTAATAAAAGCAGAACACAGTATTGTATTGTTAAAAGAATTTTCTTAAAAGTATAAAGCACTCTTATAAACAGTCATGAAATGGTAGTGTGAAAAAAATTAATTAAAATACAGTGTGCCATATAATGGAATTAGACTCCTATTACTGAAGTAAAAACATGAGAGTAATAATGCACAGCTGTCCACAATTACCTTTCAAGAGCTGCTCTCCGTTTTTCTACAAATTCAGTGGATGATGAGTCTTCTTTACCCACTTTGACCTTGGTCATGCCTTTGAAAAAAAATAGAATGAGACTCATGATAACTTTGTATTATTGTAAACATCTCTTATAGTCATTTCTGCATAATTTAAAATACACTTTAAATTTGAACTTGACAAAAAAAAAAACTCCTCAATTTATCACTAGTATCATACTTCTGAGGAATTAAAACTCATGCTATATTAACATCTCAACTTGGTAAGTACAACACAAAACCAGATAAAGCAGAGGTGAGCTGTGTCTGCAGTCTCCTCACCCGTTTGGGTTCCTCATCTGTTTGATATACTACACTCTTGGTAAATTAAAATGTGTTTGCATTTCAATATGCATAAAGAGATTCACATTAGCAAATTTAAGCTCAATTAATATTTTCTTTTGTTTTTTTAAGATTTTACTTGACAGAGAGAGAGCACAGGCAGGGCGAGCGGCAGGCAGAGGGAGAAGCAGACTCCCCGCTGAGCAGGGAGTCCAATGCGGGGCTCGATCCCAGGACCTGAGATCATGAACTGAGCTAAAGGCAGACACTTAACCAACTGAGCCACTCAGGTGTCCCTCAATTAATATTTTCATTTCTTATAAGCAATAATTGAGGTTCTTTAGTTTGGGGACTAGAAAAGTAGCTGTAATCCATGAATTTGCTAAATATTTTCCCCACCGTAGAGTCTGAGAACATGTTGTTTATCATAGCTGGTTTTGTAATAGTTGAAACAACAAGCGCTTTCATAATTTAAAAAATAAAAGTCATGCTAATCATTTCTGTAATTGCAATTTCAATTTTAACACTACTGGATCAGACTGCACATTCTTTTTCCCTTGTTCTTTTTCCTTTCAACATCAATTCTGTAGAAATCAAGTACTGACATAGGCTACAACATGGATGAACCTTAAAAACATGCTAAGGGGCGCCTGGGTGGCTCAGTCGTTAAGCGTCTGCCTTCGGCTCAGGTCATGGTCCCAGGGTCCTGGGATCGAGCCCCGCATCGGGCTCCCT